GGGGGGGTAATAAGTGTATCACGTACCTGATGAGCGCATCAGCGGTTCCTTCCGGAAGCACTGCAGCAGGAAGTCATTCAGAGCTGGTGTGTGCAGAGAGGGGGGTTTATAGGTAGGAAGGTTAATAGGTACATAGTGGGGTTTAATAAGTACATAGGGGGGTTTAAAAGGTACTGGGGGTGTAATAGGTACGGGGGGTTTAATAGGTGCATAGGGGGGGTTTCATGAGCACCTTGAGATATGCCCTCCGGGAAGGGGGGATAGTCGTCAGAGACGATGCGGAAAAGGGCACTCATGGGATCTAGCTCGTAGTAAGGTGGCTTGGAGGTTATCAGCTCGATCACCACGCAGCCCACGGACCATATATCGCACGCAGAGGTGGGTGTGGACATCTCTATGATCTCAGGAGCCATCCAATAGGGGCTGCCTGCCAGATCTTGGTCCTCCACTCGGGCGTCGGTTTGCTTCATGGCTACCCCGAAGTCGGCTAGCTTGACCATGCTGAGGAGAGATATTAGAATAGTGGGAAATAAGAAAGATGTACAGCAATAGGGACATAGGGACAGGAATAGGGAAATAGGAGGAATAGGGGACATATACTAACCCGTCCTTGGCGGTCAGGATGTTGGCACCCTTTATGTCTCTGTGCAGCACCCCCTGGTCGTGCAGGTACTTCAATCCCCTCAGCACCTGTATTGCGTTATGTATGGGTATATAGGGGAGAGCACAGGGGATAAGAACGGAAGATTGGAAATAGGAAAAATAGGGACATAGGGGCAGAAATAGGGGCATATGTACCTGAGTGATGTAGATGGCTGTGAGTGACTCGGAGAAAGAGCCGAATTTCTTGATAACGTTGGTGAGCGAGCCGTTCTCCATGTACCTGAAAAGGGGGGGGGGGGGGGGGAGAGGGTAAGAGGGTAAGAGTATGTGTCAGGAATGGTGGCGCAGACATACAACAGACATGCGACATACAACATATAAAATCCAACGCACCACGCACGTCGTAACAAAGAGGTGTGTCTTATTCTAGCGCTATGTATAGGATCACACTATGCTAATATATATATATATATATATATATATATATATATATGTGTGTGTAGGGTACAGGACCACACTATGTATACAGTACACTTACTCTAGCACTATGTATAGGAAGGACTTGGTCTGCACGGTGTCGTAGTACTTCACGATATTAGGATGGTCCAGCTCGTGCATCAACTCGATCTCTGCCAGCTGTGTGTGTGTGTGTGGGGGGGTTGGTGTGTGGGGAATATGTGTTGGAGGGTGTGGGGGAGGGTGTGTGTGAGGGGGTGGGGGGGGAGTGCGTGCGAAGGGGTGGTGGTGGTGTGTGGGAGGGGTTGTGTGTGTGTGGGGGTGGTTCGATTTAGTGATAGATTGACATTCGGAGAGGCGTGGGAAAGGCATACCTCCACACTCAGATCTAGCTGCTCGTTGCCGATAGCAGCTAGGGGGAAGCGTTTCACTGCCACCATTTGGCCGGTCTGCGAGTTAAATGCTTGGTACACGATGGCGAACCCGCCGCGCCCGATCTCTGCCCCCAGGTGCTATGCGTAGGATAGGGTAGTTTGGTAGGTTAAGATGGGGGTGGGGATTTATGTAGGAGAGGGTGGAGGTTCATGGATAGGGACAGGGACAGGGGCAGGGGGAGGGGCAGGGGCAGGGAGAGGGGTAGGGGCAGGGAGAGGAACAGTAGGGCGAGCGCTGGTTTATATGGTTTAATGGTTTATATGGTTTGTCTTACGTATTCGTTGGGCCCATTACAGATCTTGGGGTCCACCTCTTCGGGCTCCAGATCTGTTGTCTTCGAACGAGCTCTGGATTTCGAGCGAGATCTGATGTCCTTCTCCTTTTGAGCGAGATCCGGCTTGTCCTTCTTGTCCTTCTTCTCCTTCTTCTCCTTGTGCTCTTTGTGCTCTCTGTGCTCTTTGTGTTCTCTGTGATCCTTGTGATCCTTGCTCTTCGGCGGCTTACTCATCGCTCACCCGTTGATTGGCTCAATATGAAACCATCCTACTTATTTTGTTCAATACCAGTAGCGTCACCACTCCTGCCCAGTCGGAGAAATCAAGTAGAGCCGATCCCTAGTGACGGTTGAAGAATCCCTCGTAACGTGTCGAATCGGTTGGGCTAAAGAGGCAACGTCGATCTCGATAGCTCGTCGACCTCCTCAGCTCAGCGCCCTGCTGCGGAGCAACACCGTTGGAGTGGGGAGTAATCTCCCGAGGCGGTCAGATTGGACAGTTGGATTCGGATGTGCCTGCAGAATGAAGCTCGGGAACAAGAAGTAAAAATCAACAAACATGAGTGCTTGTCGCTCGAACAATTGCATTATATTGCTTCGGATGGGAATAAAATGCACTCGAAAATCTTCGTGGCGATTTTGACTATCTCCCGCGTGGTCTAACGGTTAGGATATGGCCCTTTCAAGGCCGGGGCCCGGGTTCGATTCCCGGCGCGGGAAAAACTTTTGCCGGGGAGGACCAGCAGCTGGGTGTAAATACAGACGTTTTCTCTCTTTTTGGCACCCCCCACAGGTCTTGGGACTTAAGAGGGGAATTCCCCAAGACGGGGCTTCCATTTTGACTTTTTTGGGGGGTCCCCTTTCTTCAAAAAGAGAGGATGTTGGCGACTCTCCTGCAAGATCAGGAAGATGGCGGAGCAGTCGTTCTCGAAGCACCGGTCGAGGTTCCGCCTAGATTCCGGCGCAATCGGCAGTTTACATCTCACAGGATAGGCGTTTGATTTGCTTTGCCCTGTGGCGGCGCAAGCGTGGAGCCCTTTGCCCTCTCCTGGACGCAACTGGCGAGGAAGCCCTCA